GCCGCGATTGAGATCTGCAACACACAGGAGACTCAAAGCGACCAACGAGGCAGCCCCCACGGCTTCCACATGCATGGAATTGCCTGCCAATTTCTTCAGAGCTGAACATGACACTGGTACTCTCTCCTCCAATTCGTGCAAAGGAAAGCCTTGCAGCAGCATGACCTCAACACTGCTGATCACCCTGTTGGCTGCGACTGAGTAGATGCATGCTCCAGGGGTTATACATGGAATGTAACCTCCAAAGGAGATCTTCGACCTTTGGATGGACTGGCTAACGTCGATACACATGTCACTCTTGCGATGACGATCCCAGGCCAGTTGCAGAACATCTTTAGCACGCTCACTCCATCCATCCGTGTTTGCGTCCAGGCACTGTGCCTCACGCTGACCACGAAGTTCCTCACGGATGCGCTTGTGCTCACATCTCCACTTCTCCACTGTTGTTTTTACAACCAGTCTCCTCTTCAGCTTGGGTGGGCGAGGCGCAGGGCATTTGGGCTTCGGTTCCTTGTACGTTTCGAGCAGCGGATGCCCTGGACGGAGAAGACGCTCAAGCAGCGTGGCCTGCAATGGTCGATGCATCACTCTGAGGATTTCCTGGCCCAGTTGGCAAAGGGACTGTGTGTCGTCGACGATGAGGAGGTCCTTGCGGAGCGCGACGAAGTACACCCGCTGTCGCCTCACACTGTGCCCTAGCATCGTGGGACACAGGCGAAAATACAGCACCACGTAACCTTTCAAGTCGCGGAAGAACCATGCCACCTGTTCGATGAACGGCAAAAGGCCTTCAACGTTCTCGAACACCGCAAAGCCAGGTCTCTTTGTCACCATCACAGTGATCATTTCCTGATACAGGGCAAATGGCTTCGCAAATTTTCAGTATTACTACTGTAGTAAACAGTATTGCTGTTGCATTTTATGTTCTTCACTCTAAATTTGTCGGCACTGGCCTTGAAAGGAAGGAAGTCAGGGCTCTCGAAATACTTCGAGAAGTTGTTCAACGTGCTCCAAGGCTTGCAGGGGAACCCGCAGTAGTAGGCATTGATGTCCTTCAAGGATTCATGGTCACGCTTGAGCATGTTGCTGTAAAGGTCTGGGTCTTGACCTCTTGACACTGATCTGAAGTCGAGGAAGCGAAGACAGTGCAAGGCCACGTCACAAGCGAACATCTGTTTCACTCTGATGTTCAATCCTTCCAGTGCGAACATAGGAGCGTCTGCTCCTGAACAGTCCGTGCCGACAAGAAGATTGGCAGTCCTCACGCTGTCATCCTGGATATTTCTGGCTTGCAGCCATCGGGTCCTGCACTGTGAGGCTCTGTCCATCATGACACTGGCCCAACTGCCAACGAGGTCGAGCGGATCCATTTTACACGGGCCCGATTCGACAAGGTCCTAAAGGACAATGGCTGACACTGACTAGCTCAACAAGGTCCTAAATTTAGAGGATGATGGCTCACACTGCGAAAGCTTTGCTGAGCACCATTGCTGTGTTCAGAGCCGGCTTGCACACAACGGGCACTTTCAGCAGTTCAGCATCTCAAAAAGACGCACACAAAACTAACAGCAGTCAGCAGAAAATTCGCAGGGCAGCTGGGACACTGGGCTTCACACTGAGAAGCTCGAAGCCGGCATGGACTGGACTAGTCTGGCCTCAGTGTCATGTTCAAAGCATCACACATCCGCAACCCTAACAGTCTGTCAACAATACATCCTGAACCCTAAAATTGAAACCCTAAACAATTATATTTGAAGTTTAACCCTGTAGATGAAGGGCCGATGATATTGGTTCATGAACAGACACTCACCCTCACAGACTCCACTTCGCAATGCAGCCCAACCAACTGAGGTCTGCACGCGATCGACACTGCGTGCCTCGGCCTGAGCAGCAACATGGATCTTGATTGGCAAGTGTGGCTCAACGATGCACGTTAACAACTCACAGCTCGCTCTCAGCCTATCATACCCATGCCGTCTGTTTTCACACTCACCCGCTCGAAGAGCTGATCAGAATACTTTGGTGCATCCCAGCTGCCCTGGCCAACGTAACTGTCATTGCAGTTCTGATTGAGGTGCTCTATCACACTCTGTCTATCACCTACCTCAGCTAAATGTCTGGATACACCGTCTGGCACAGGGCAAGTGCGACTTGGCAGATCTCCGGGGCACGCTTCACACAGAGTGACACTCCCTGTTGAACATATTATTGTATTCTTTGCTTTGTAAAGTATATTTATTAATATATATATTAAAAGTAATATACATATTATATCCATTACAGTTATATATTTTCTTCAAATTCAGTCTTGTGCCACACTGTGGGTATGCCATTCAAACAGCTTATCACTGAGATTGACATTTGAAGTTCACGCTTGACGTTGTGAAACGGTGGGAGACATTCAAGATTGACCCTGCGATCAACATGCTAAATTGTGACATATCTGCGAGACAAACTGCTTCGACTACATTTCTAATCTGATGTTTGTAATAATATACTCAGGGCACTTGAAAGTCGTTATGTCTGCCGAATCAATGTCCAAAACGGCGGCCGCGTCACTCTAAACCAGTCATCATCATGCGTGCTCCTCATCCTCTGAGGACTGCTCCTCGTCACTCTCCACGTTCATCTCCGCCAACACGTCTTTGAAATGGCGTAGCACCAGCTTGCTCACACTCTCATCGAACAGGGACGAGTCCTTCTGCGCCATGAGTGACAATGCCTCCATGTCCAGGATGTTGGTGAGCCACGAGTGGTGCGTCTCCTCGGTTAAGGTCCCTAAACCCTAAACCCTAAATTTTAACCATAAACCCTGAACCCTAAACTCACCCTAAACCCTAAACCCTAAAACCCCTAACTTACTAAACTCTAAACCCAAACATAAAATTTTAAACAATCAAACCAAGACTCGTGCCTGGTCAGGCCGGTGTATTTCACACTGTCCCGGAGGCACGTTTTTGCTAGGGAGCCGCTTCCAGGGGAGAAGTCGATCACCGAAGTCACGCTCAGGGCGCTGAGGAGCGTGCGCCAGAACTCCTCACCCTTGGACTCCTGAAAGAAAAGCGGCACACTGTCGCTCACCCATTTGGGTGGGCAATCACTCTCGGGGTAGATCTTCGCCTTCTCTGCCAGGGCGATCCTCGGCCTGCCCGTGGCCGATGGCACCCCCACCATGTTGAGGTCGTGGGTGGTCTCGGTGCCTTTCACTCTCGGGCGATTCTTCTTGGTGGTCGTGCTTGACGAGTGGCGGAACTCATCTTCACGCTGCTGCACTGCCACCTTGGCTCTTGACACTTGCATGACGAGGTGTCCGTGCTCCACCATTTCTGACCCTGCAAAGATCTTGCGGGAACGGCACATCCTTCTGCGGTTGCTGTACAGCACGACGAAGTCGGTGCCCTTGGGGAACTCACTCTCGATGAGCCTTCTTGCATCTCTGGAGCAGCCGTCCAGCATCACGACGAAGTCACTCTCCTTGAGGCCGCCGTTCTTGAAGACGTCGAAGATCACGCTCACACTCTCGGCGGTGATGGAGGGGAGTTTGCTCCACGCCCCCTTGCCATCGATGTGGAGGTCGGCTGACCAAACCCACAGCCGGTGACTCTCGTTGAGCTTGCCCTGGAAGTTCTTCACACTCGTTTTGTCAAGAAGCGCACGCATTGACTCTTTGGTCGGCTTGTTCTTGGAGCACAAACACGCCAGGTGGATCTCCTCTTTGCGTGCCTTCTGCGCCTGGCCCCACACGTGCTGTCGCTCTCGAGCAAGCTCACTCTCTTCGTGCTCGTCCGGGTTCGAGGACTTGCGGACAAGCTCTCTGAATGACACTGGGGGTGCCTGGCTTGTCGTCGTCACACTCACACTGGTCTTTGTCAGGGCCATTGACGCTGACTTGAAGGCCTTCGCGAGGGCACTGGCCTTCTTCTCGTTGGCTGCGACAGAATCCAGCAGCACGCCCGCCGGATCACGCTCATTGATGATGTCCTGCGAAGCTAAAGGCTTGTTACGGTTGCTTGACGGGGTACAGTGCTGGAGTTCAAGCCTTGTAAGTCTCAAATCCTACAACATAGGTAACTTACTGACACTGATTGTCATTGTTATTCAAAGGAGGACCCCTAGAGCAACTCACAAAACAAAACAAGCGTCCTTGAGGTCAACTTCGAACTCACACTCGTGCAGGTCGCGCAAAAACTCTGCAACTGTCTTTCCGGGCTTGGAAAGACTCTGGGTGAGGGCCTCGAAGGGGTGCATGTCCACCAGCACTGCCGTTTTCTCTGATTCACCCTCACCCTTTTTACCTTCATCATCATCGGCGTCTGCGTCCGAGGCCTGCAAAGGCACGGCGGCATCGTACTGCAGGGGGGAGCAGAGCTTCTGCACAACCTCCAGGACCCGGGCAGGCTCAGAGTCACCCTGACAATCTTTGCAGTTCAACTTGGCCATGTCCGCCACCGTTCGCATCAGGGAGGCCTTCACACACGTGGCAGCCGTCCAGCCGCCTTTGTCCACCTGGGACAAGCCGAAGAACCTTAGCTGCACACGGGACATCCTCACACTCACCATCACTTGTCTTTCCATATCTATCTCCCTCGCTCCCTCCCCATCTCTCTCTCTCTCTCTCTCTCTCTCTCTCTCTCTCTCTCTCTCTCTCTCTCTCTCCGTCTCTGTCTCTCTCTCCGTCTCTGTCTCT